GGTTCATGTGGTGCGCCTGCAACCACAATTCCCAGTGGATATCGTCCCATGGAAAAAGTAACTTCTGCCTTAAATACCGGAAATTTTCGTCGTAGTATTTCTAGTGGGCATTTTTAGCTGCTAAATCACGCACCGTCGCACTATATCTCATTAAAGCCGGGGCGCTCTCAGGAAATCAAACCGTATATATTGCAACAAATATTTGAAAGGCAGAGGTCCAGTGATCTATTGTGGTGATACGCTTAGTATTCTGGACAGGCTCGAGAGTAACAACCGGCTGGTTTGACGTGGCTGGTGTTTTGACAGCAAAATTGTATTTTGGGTCACCCGGGATAGAAGAACACAGACTACCGAGCTCGACATACTCATTGGCCCAAATTTTGGCTTGAATTTTTTCAGGCACCCGACTCGCTAAGGGAACGCAAATCAATTTATGCACTTGTTGTGGCCGGTTGTTACTATCGAGAGTGTCAAGGTGATTAGGATTCAAAATATCATGGCCCTCACCAGTTAAATTATCTACTACATCAGCAACTGACTCCTGTTCGGCTCCAACAGTCTGGGATGTATTCTGCGCCACGTTGACGTTGGTACTGGGGAAGATACCGGCATCAGTAAGACCCTTGATCACTGCCGCTGAAATCACCAATGTCAAGGCAGGGATGGACCAACCTGAAGGGATATTTGGAACGCTAGAACCGGATGCGGTTGGGGTCTCAATATCAACACTGGGTACAGTTTGTGGAGGTACTAATAGCTGACGCTGTAGCTGGCTGGGATGAGAACCGTTCAGGCTGTTAATCCCTTGGCCTCTTCGGGTGCGCTTAGACGCAGTTGGTGTGGTGCGCTTCGAGCGTGCCTTTTTGGAACCAGCAGACGTACAAACGGTGCCTGGGGCCGCACGGCGTTTTCCACGAGTCAACATTATTGCTGGGTTGTAGAAATCTATAACAGCAAATAAAACAAGGGGGCCTTACGTTTCACCAGATTTCTTAAGCGTGAATATGCGAGGTAACTGCGACCAGGATCCAAGAACATTATGGCAAAGACTGAGAAATCTACAGGACATTTACTGAGTAAAATATTCAAGTATGTACAGGAACCAAACAAAAATCAGTAACAGCAAATACAACCAGTGGGCCTTATGTTTCACCAGATTTCTTAAGGGTGAATGTGCAAAGTAACTGCGACCAGGATACAAGAACATTATGGTAAAGGCTGATAAATCTACAGGACATTTACTGAGTAAAATATTCAAGTATGTACAGGAACCAAACAAAAATCAGTAAATCGGCAACATGTTTAGCAAACCCAAAAAATTGAGATGCCGCCAGGAACATGCTATACTGCCGGAGATAATACAAAAAACGGCCCTGAGAAAATTAAACTGTTAAAAATCAAAGCGCTTACTAAAAGTGCAAACGTAAATGCCTGATAGGTCCGACCTGTTTGAAGCAGTCATTTAGGCAAGGCCTTCCCAAGTGTAATACACTGTAACGCAAACAAAATGGCACTTCTATAACTACGGTAGAGAGCGTAGTTGCCATGGTCATTAAGGTGAATTCCGTCCCTCTTCAAGACAGTGATCTTAGGCTTGCGCAGGCCTTTGTGTCGCCAGAATTCAGCGAACGATAAAGGTTCAAGAACCACGTCCAGGTATTTATTCAATGTGTCTACAGAAGAATTATACCGTTGACAATGGGAAGGGAGTGTCGCTCTGTGAATGACCTGACAAAACGCTACATTGCACACTCCTTGTGAAGTTTACAAACTAAACTCTCGATAGAGGAACCCACGGTTTCGGGGCGATGCCCAACCTCACATAGGTCATTAGACCCAATCTCTAAGACAACAATATCAGGCTGCAAAGCTCTAACGTGGTCCAG